TCTCCTCTCATTTATTTTCAGTGAGCAAGATTATGGATGGTGCTGACAAAGATTTTATTGATTATATAGTAGCAAGAAAATGCAAATGGAAAAATTTTTTGCAGCCATCTTAGCATTAGAATCAAATACCATGCAATATGTTACTGCTTGCTTGTAGTCAGCAAAGATCACCCAGCAGTTTTTGCTATTAACTCCAATGTCATGGCCAAATTTTAACTTGGGTAATTACATTCTGCTCATATGCCTGCTGTGGCATAGTTCAATTCCTTTCCTTTTCTAACAGGATGTTCTATACATGTTAGTATTCCCCTACCAAAGTCATTGCATTTCACCCATGGGTACAGCATGTCTAGTATACATTTTGACTTATCGCACAGGCAGCAGGATTGATCATAAATATTTGCTGCGCACACTTAGGGTGCTGGCTGAAGTGCATAGCTGAGGTGTCTGCTGATTGTACTATTAAACAATCTGATAATTTTGGAGTACCTGGCATATTTTCCCAATGAAGTCACGGATGAGTGGAACAAAAAATCAGAGACCAGGTGGATCCATGACAGAAGGATTTTAAAAGGAGGGTTGGTACCCTGGGTGAGAGTAGAAGGAAATACATGAACAGAGTGCAGTAGGAGATTTGCCTCAATACTGCCAACACTTGAGAGATTTTCAATGCAATCTCAATATGTGGAATTTTTCTTAAAGCCCCAGGTCCTGGAGACGTGTGATAATGTGTGTGTCTCAGGTTTCATTAAGAAAAAGTAAGTTTCTAGCCCTCCTCATTCCACAGAAATGGTGGCATATGAGTCCTAAGGGCTCAGAAACCAAGTGGCCAATGGAAAGCCCCCAGACCTGTTATCTATAAAAATCTTATCAATTTTAAGATGAGTGCATGATTTTTAGGCCTGATCTGTAATTTGTGTTCCCTTGGAGTTGGTGATCATGTTTTCAACCTGCCACTGGGAGCTGTTGTCAGCTGGTTGTCAGCCAGCCAACAACTGAGCACATGCTTGGGATTCTTCCGGGCTGTCTGGCCTGCCTAATTTCCGGTCTTGGGTGTGGGCAGCGTGGGAGGGAGTAGATAGGGTTTGTTTGTGCCAAGGTGGCCCAGGCTCAGCAGGGAGGTGGTATAGCCCTGGCTTGAGGTTCCCCAGGGAAAGTTCTCAGACTTATTGCAATTATCCTTTTAGTCTCAGGATGGCAAGCTGAAAGCTGTCAACACTTTTAGCTTCAGACCTAGCTGTGGCAAGTGGACAGGTATGCAGATGTCCAAATCTTGAGAAATGTCAGGGGATTACTTAAAAAGAAAGATTTTCTATTATAACACATAACTCTTTAATGCTGAGCTCAGTGTTGAACAAAATGTGGAAGCAGAGCTGTGACCGTACATGAGACAATACATCTAATACATATACAGAAGGGGGTTTTTATAACAGAGATGACGGTACAAGGAATAATGGGCTAATCGTGAGAAGGGAGATTTAGGTTGGATATTAGGAAGAACTTGTTAGCTGTGACGGTGGTGATTCACTGGAATAGATTACCTAGAGAGGTAGTGGAGTTTCCATCCATGGAAGCTTTTAAGTGAGGGTTAGAGAAATACTTGTCTAGGATGGTTTGGTCAGGGATTATCTTGGCTTGAGCAGGGAGTTGGACTAGATAACCTCCTGGTGTCCCTTCCACCCCTAGGGGCTTATGACTGTTTAATTCCACAGAGAGAAAATCAATGTGCATGTCTAAGAACAAATCTACATACAGTGGGCACATCTACACACGCTTATCACACCAGAGTTTATTGCTCCTAGGCTCCTTGTTTACACATGTGCCCAGGACTGGCACGTTGAACCAGGGTGCAGCAGCCCCAGCTGGCAGGGGACCCAGGGAGCTCCGACCTAGATCATCGTGCTGCAGAGGGGTTGACTGGGGCATGAGTGTGCTCCAGTGTGGGACTAGCCAGCAGGCAGCCCCTGCACTGAAGCACCCTTGTGTCCCAGGCAGCCCCATCAGCATCTACACATGTGAAGTAATTTTTCTTTGCAGCAGGATAGTACTTGTACTTACAAGTACTACCCTGCTTTGGAGTTTATTAGTTTACTCCAGCCTAATAGCCCTGCTCTTGTAGATGCTGAGATGTTTACTGTGGAGCTAATTAGCCGACTGCGCAGTTAACATCTTGTATAGACATAGTAAAATTCTACTCCCCCTGCCTCCTTTTTTC